CAGCCTGTGGTGGGAAGGAGTCAAGGGAAGGGGAATTAAAGTTCATGGAGGAAGCTTCAGTCTTTAGGTCAGGCTGAGATGTGACCTTCAGAGCTTGCCAAGTCCATGAGGGAACACAAATTGCCTTTGGATGGCTTCTCAATGGCCCCTCTATGGCTCAGAGTCCAAAGCCCTGCTGAGATGCTCTCTGATGTGATCTGGGAGGGTAAGCCTGCCCAGCAGGGGCCTGCCCTATCCACCTGGGAGGCTAACCAGTGGCCTGGATCCTGTGGGGGAATACTTAGAAGAATCTCTTGGCTTTGTTGTCTTCTGCATACTTATGTCCCTTCAAAACATTTACCTAGCTCTGCTAATTGGCTTTTTCCCGTAAAGATTCAGAAGAATGATGTATATAAGTTTCTGTTTTTATAGAACTCACCTGGGCAAGGTAATTGATCTTTTTCTCCTTTCCTTGCAAGCTTCCAGCCCTCCCTGAGCCCTGCTGACATTTCACAACGTGTGTCTTGGCGACCCCTGAACTCTGACCATTGCTTTCTCTGACCCAAACTCTTGTTTATTTAATCCTCTTAAAAGTTAGAAATGCTGCCAAACTGTGGTTTTTGTTTGATTTTGTTTTTATTCTCCCAGGGACACAAGTCACATCAGTCTTTAGAGGAGCCGTGTTTGTAGTTATTGTCTAGCCGGTTTGTCTTTCTAGTTCTCAGGCCCTGACCTAAGACTGCTGTATTTGGGCTCCCTACACAAATTAGACTCTTGACAACATTTTATGTTTTTCTTCTCTTTTTTAGACTGGGTCTCACTGTGTAACCCAAGCTGGCTTGGAGCTCACTGTATAGTATGGCCTTAAACTCATGATTACCCCTTTGCCTAGGCCTCCCGAACACATGCTCATCCTCCCACATACTCCTTCGGTCTCATAGTCTCCTGCAGATACACACGTATATATAAATCCATAAAATTCAATACTGAAAGTAAGCTTTATGAAAATATGTACAAAAAAGAGAGATATTTCTCTTTGTTCTGTTCCTCTGAGAACCCAAACTAATGTCCATGCAACCAAAAGTGTGGTACACAGGCATAGGGTGGAGGGGAGAGAGAGGGAGGATCCCTTGCACCCCCATCAGACATGGATGCAACCATTTAGTAAAAATGAATGCACCTACTCTTCAGAAGGATCGAAATCAGGCTTTAATTTCCATCTTTATGAAGAAACTGAGACAAAGAAATCAAGTTGCTCTTCCAAGTTCACACAACTAGACTATAATAAGGATTATAGCTCGTGTCTGATTTCCAAGACTTAGTTTTGGCCTCTGAAGTTTCCTGAAAACATAAGCCTAGGGCCAGGAAGACTCCTAAGTTGTGTGTCAAACTGACAGGACCTGGACAAAAGGCAAATGAAAGACCACATGGCTTACTGAGCTGAAGCTTCTCCTGGGGGTTCTGAGCAGCAACTGCTATGTCACCACAAACTTGCAGGCTCCAGGAACCAATTGTAAGTTCCAGAATAAAAAAGTTGCCCTGAAAACATGCTAGTGGTATCAAAAGAAAAATCTTTTTGGACAAATTTTCGTAAAGCTTATTTTTAGTATTTTTTTTTGTTTGTGTTTGCTTTTTTTTTTTTTTAAACAGGGTCTCCCTAGGACCAGCCCACCTGGAACATACTATGTAGAACAGGCTGGACACAATTTCACAGAGATCTGCTTACTTTTGCCTCCTGAATGCTGGGATTAAAGGCGTGTGCCACCACACCAAGGCATACAAAGCTTATTTTTAGTATTGGTATATATACATGTGTACATATGAGAATGAGACCAGGAGGGAGTATGGGTTTGTGGGGAGAGAGAGAGCGAGAGAGAGAGAGAGAGAGAGAGAGAGAGAGAGAGAGAGAGAGAGAACCAATGGAACACATAATTATAAGCAGGAATTTAGTAGGTTGGCTTACATGATCAGAAGCTACCTAGTCACACAATGCCCATCTGCTTCCTGGTGAGCCAGGGAAACTGACAGCTAGCTGTTCAGTCTAAGAAGATGTAACAAGAGAAGCCAATGATGGAGCACTAGGCCAAGACTGAAGGCCTGAGAGCAACCTGGAGAGTCACTGGCAATGAAAGTCTTAATTGAAAGGGTGAAGAATATATAGTCTGATATCCACAGATAACAGCAGTGGTTGAAAGTGCACCCACTTGAGAAGGATTAACTATGTGTGATTGGAGCCTCCCCTTTCTTTCCCTTCATAACTCCATCTGGGTCCCTGCTTATTAAATGGTGCCACCCACATTCTTTCTCATCCATTTTATGATGCACATACCATTCTTCAGACACCCCAACATACACCTCTAGAAGTATGCTTTACCAATTTTCTATGCATCTCTCAATCCAGTCTAGTTGACAACCAAAATTAATCGCCATAGCGCACATACAGAATATAGTGAAGCTAGTCCATCTCTTTGCAGCTGCTCCCATGAGGTAGAGGAAGGGTGAGATGTGGCTTCTGAGATTGCATGCTTAACTGAGGCAGGGCAGACAGACAGCTCCTCCTGGATATACAGGAGGCAAGGAAGACAGGTTCCGCCCTACTGAGATTCTTATGCACCAGGAAACTTAGAGCTTCTTGTACATTAATTTGTTCTAGGAATCATCAAGGAGACCAAGCTGAAGGAGAAATGAGCAAATGAGAAGTGAGACCAAGAGTGAAGGGCAGGGCCTTTTCAATGGTAACCACGAGAGAACGTGTGTAGAAGACCATAAATCTAAAGGCCACCTACTCTCTCCATCTTCTACTTTCAAAGTGCAGGGGAAATGATAGCACATATAGTATCCTCTAGAGTCAGAGGTCTGGTTCCAGGAACTTTGCCTCTTCTCTGGAAATTCAATGTAATATCCTTGAGGACAGTCCCTATGAGAACAGGGTTTAGTGCTTTCGCATGGAATGGCTAGAGGGACATCTGGGTATATAAACTTGACTTGATAGGCTTTAACATATATGTCATAATACATGAAATCTTGTGTGGCAGCTATGGGGTGGGTTCAGATAGGGGAGGGGGGAGTCTAAATATGATTAAGATGTATTAAATGAAATACAAAAAAATTCAATAAAAGTACATTATATGGAATTCTGGAACCAATAAAACATTAAAAAACAATAAGCAGAAATATTGGAAAAAACATAAGTAATTAAAAAGTAAAATAAAGACGTTATGTTGAATAAGAAAAGGACCCCCCCCCAATTACCAATAGCCACTCCTACCAGACTGCTAATAAGATGGCACACTTACTTAAGTATTTCAGTGACATTGGTTAAAAAGCTCTTGGCTACTCACTGGTACTCTGAGAAAAATTTATCCACAGGATATGGCTCGTATTAGTCCAATTTGACAGATTTTTCTCTAAAATCCTCTCCTCCTGTCTTGAACTTTGGACTTTTCCTCCAAAGAGTTGTAGATACTCTCCTGAACTGATGTTGCTTGCTTTTCTCATACAGAAAATCCCAGTTACAATGCAAAGTACCAAAGATCCAGGTATTAAAACAAGGAGGGTTGTTGAAGATAAACTAATCTGGAATAAAGTGAAGACACACAAAACTTTAAGGATACCACCATAGCACCAGCAGTATATGGTTGAAGTTGTCCACCCCAAAGCTTTTGACTAGCTCATTGCTTTGACATTGATGCATGGACTAAGAATGTTGATGAAACTGGCAGACTTTTAAAAATATGTCATAATGAAGGATGTTATTATATACTTCTACCGAGCTTATAAAAGTTCCCCAGAGTGTTGACCCTGAGAGTCTATTAATGGAAGTGTACACATGAAATGACTTTTTCCTTCACATGAATGCTTGCTCAAAAAGATATTGGACATTGGAGATGTTTCATGGCCAGGAAAATACAGCCACTTAAAACTCTTTAGAGGGTGCTGTATGGAGGAGGACGTACTCCTTGTGTGATTCCTTTGAATATGAAGGAATGGGATGACTTGAGGAGGGATACACAGGAGAGTAGGATGTAGGACATATGTCATTTTGGAGTGCATCATGGATTGAAGGCCAGGAATTTCAGGTACAATGAAGAGTGCAGCCAGAAGTAAGACTCTTGAGCCATTGTGTGAGATTTTTCAGCAAGGATGGAGTCAGACCTTAGTATAGTAAACGAATGAAGGTATAATGTAATGTGTGATGGGAAACCTCTCAAGAACCTCACATTAGTTACTTTAGCATAACTGTGATAAAATATATGACAGAAACAACTTATGGGAGGAAAGGTCTTGGCTCATGGTTTTAGAGAGTCAATCCATTCTGGAAGGGAGGGTATAGATGAACTCGTGGCAGTGTGAGTATGTTTTAAAGACTACACATATCATGAAGAATCAAGAAATGGATAAATGAGTCAGGAACTCGGGGGCAGGCAAATTTCAAAGGCCAGCTCTTTGTGATCAATTTCTCCAGCAGTGCCCTATCTTCTAAAGGTTCCACAGCTTCCAAAAATACCACTACCAGCTGGAGAACAAGGATTCACAACATGAGCCTGAGGGGGCATTTCAGATTCTCACCATACCAGACCTCTTGACTTGCAGCATCTCTCCATCTCATTGGTGATTACTCTGCACCAATGATGGGTACTGGGCTTGTGAGGGTTGGTATGAGTCATCTCCATATTCATAGAGCCAGCAATATCTCTTGGGGCAAAACCTACCTAGCAACATGCAGAGTCTCATTTACTTACTGGTGAACTTCCCAGGGAGATGGCTAATACAATATTGCATACCAGAGGGTGGACGAATCAGACTCCCAAACCATAGTCTGGTTCACAACCTGGCAGCATTTTTCTTTAGTGAGTTCATGTTAAGATTTATATGAATTTCATATTTCTCTGAAATGACCAAAAGTCACTTTTTTTTGCTTTCAAACTAGACATGCATTTTTATCTAAGGACCAGTGTTGAGACTGGGCTGTGCCCTGGGTTAAGTTACTCCATGTTGTGTAAAACAATGTTTTTTTTCAGACTGTGCCTTGCCTTGAGAAGCATTTGACTCTGTTTTGAAGATGGAGGATGACTGCACCTGAGTGGACATATAAAGAAATATCATCAGTTCAGTTCTACCTACAAGGCACAGACCGATAACTAATTCTATCTTTTTTTTTTAACTTTTACAAAAACTTTATTGAGAATTTCATACATGCATATAAGGTGTTTTGATCAAATCCATGCCCACTCTCTCCCCTTCAGCTCCTCCCATATCTCCCCATCACTTTTTCCTCATAACTTCATGTACTCGTTTTTCCTCTATGATTTATTTTTATGGGGCTTTTGGCTACTCTAACATCCCCCCCTCTGAAGCGGTAACCCTAAAGTCTTTTAAGGATTAGTAAAACTTCCCAAATACTTTTGACATTTTTTGCCTTTGGAACAGTGTATGTTGCTAACAGTCCCAAGGACATTTTGACTTTTAGCCAAGAAACTGGCTACTTTCCTTTAGTGTCTTTTGACCCTAACTGCCTAGCCAATTCTTACCTCCTATTCTTATCATGCCATCCTCTGAAAGGGTTACCCAAATTGCCAATAGGGAATTGGGATGCAGACCACTCTGGCTTCTTCCATGCTGAACAGGGATGCAGTGTGAAGCAGTTGGAGTACCCCTTCGGTGGGTCTATCTAAAAGACTCCCAAATTGCATAATTTTTATCTCTAAGGGGAAAAGAAAGTCCTTGAATTGTGAATACAAGTTCCAGGGAGAGAACTAGAAAAAGGTCAGAACAGAGCAATTTTCAAATGTTTGTATGAGAGTCCATTGGAATTTCTTGACAAAGGCTTCCAAAAGCATCCCTCTATTGGGTTTTTCCTCATTTTTCTTTTGTCCTCCAAGGCAAAGAGTGATGGATTCAGGATTTGCTTTCAGGCATTTTGATAGCTGTTGGAGTAATTAAAATCAGTGTCAGTTCCCTCTCAAAGGCTTCTGAAATAGGGGGAGAAAACAAATTTATCCATCATTTTAGAAAAATAGCTGGTTGTCTCCCTTAGTTACCAGTGGGCACTACAGTATTGGAGACCAAGATTTGAAGTCTTACATCTGGGCAGCACTTTCTGGTTAGGAACAAAATCATCACTGAGAAATACTTGTCTAACTAACTTTTTATATAGACTTAAGCCTAATGTTTGGGAAGTGGAATCCCTTGAACTCTTAAAGAAGTATACTGATGACTTTACTCGGGTTATATTTTCCTTTTTGGTGTTTAAGACTATACTGTTGGCCCAAATAAATCAATTTATTTTTACACTTATGGTTATTTGATGATCTGTTCTTCAGGGGTCACATGGGCTTGGGAGGAGCTCCTGGCTCCTTTCTTTTACCAGTTCCATCTATGTGAATATAAGTCAAAGGTCCTGCTCGACCATGGCTGGCTTCACTTGGAAGCATGAATGAGATGTCCTTGAAGTCCCTCTGACCACATTAGTATAGGCCTCAAAGTATGGCAGTTAAACATCCAATAAAGTTAGTTCCACAGTCTGGTACTGTTAATTACCAGGTGCTATGTAGATAAGGCTTAGGTAGAGAACCAAATATTCTCAAATAAACCTTGACTAGATATATATTTTGTTCCTTAAACTAGTTGACTAAACTATTACCATAGAAATTTTTTTTCAATGACTAAAGATACACTTTTTCCCAGTTAATTATTTATTTAATAACCACATACTTAGAAGAAGCATTGCATTACAACAGCATTGACATATTCAATAACAATTTTCTGAACTAAGATGCATCTTTTTCAAAATTGGCTGTAAATTTTTAGTTTTACACTTGAATTGTTAAAGTTATACAATATTGTACTCAGTATAAACCCTATAAGACATAAAATTGAATGAGGTTTTAACCTTTAAAAAAGATCTCCATTTCATTATTAAAATACACAGTTCCATACAGAAAAATTCATTTTCAATGCAATTGACATTAAGATGTTTGCACATGTGTTTCTAATCTCTATATATCTGATTATTACTAGTGTCAGTAGGTTAATTTCTGAGCTCCTTGGCATCTGAGCATGGATATAAAGTTATCAGGTACATTTCAATGGTAATGTTTTTCACATCTACTAATTATTATAATGTTTTAATCATTTTTTAATTTTTAATAACTACATGATTAGAAGAAGCATTTCACTACAGCTTTAACATATTCAGTAACACTGACACTGAGATGTTGACGCATGCACCTCTAATCTGTATGCACCTGATTATTACTAGGCATAATTGGTTGCACTTGGACCCTTGGCGCCTGTGTATGTCTATGAAGTCATCGGGTAGATTTCAATGGTAATGTTTATCACCTCTACTAATT